TTGCCGTGATTCGATGCACACTATGAGATTCATTCAAGGATGCGATAAGCAAATCGGATAAAAAAACGAGACGATATTTTTATGCGAAAATAACAAATGTTATTTAATCGTTTCAAATTTTACAGCGACATTTTCTATTGATTTTAAATTCGATAATGTTATATCGTCATACATCTAAATCATACATGCAACAACGTGTATTTGGGACACCTACAAATATCGGTTATTGTTAATCGGAAAAAAGCTACACACTCTCGTGATTCCTTTCACGAAATATGGCCATATATTGGTTACATTATAAAATTGTTTCAAAAATTTTATTATAAAATAGAATATATAATTCTACCAGTGATATGACATAAATAGTGTAAAATTAATTTTTAATTTAATTTAATTTTTAACTTGGCATTTGTGTATGTATGTGTGTATGTGTATGATATAACATTATTATATGATGCATTATTATGTGATGTATCATTTTATCTAATAAAATTTAATACCAATCGATAAAACTTTTAACAACTAAGGTAGTTTAACGATGTCAATTTTAACTCAATAACATGCTTTGTCGATATCCCTTCAAGGCTTTCAAGGCAATACGATGAAAGCATTGCTTCATCACTAGATCCCCTTCATTCCCCTTATTATTGGAGAGCATTTCCTAAATTTAGAGAGGCGCTTAAAGTTCATTTAATCGTTTGGAATAAATTGTTTTAAACGCGTCGAAAACTGCACATATAAATCTTACAATATCGATATGTGCATTTGATGCAAATATTCGCGCAATATTCGGTTTGTTTGCGAAATTTGAAAAAAGGTTCTCTGCGAATGTAATCAATGTGCATTTTCGTTCTATCAATACGAATATGCTTTGCAGAACGAACTGAAGGGTGAAAGCTAATCGACACGATATGTAGAGATGTATGCGCGCTAGTGTGTACTTTCACAAGCATCAACAAACGGAAACGCTACAAGTTGGATTAATACGAAGAGTTCTCCCGGTTTGAAACGTGCACTTGACTTTACCACACCATTCCATCGATCCTATCCAGCGTCCAGCTCCACTCAACATAGGGCGCGGAAAATGTTTTCAGCCCGTGTAATGGTGGTTGGAGCAATGTTGACCAAAAGGGCTTATCGATTTTGTAAACGAGTATGACGAAATAATGCTTACCTTCGCTCGTACACAAAGATTATCTCCACATTAATTGCTAAAGCGCATTAAAATTACGTTATTATATAAATATGATATTCATATACATATATACAATATTTGATATTTTATTTAACATTATTGCAATTGTCCAATAAATCAAAGCTAATACTATAAATAGACTCCATCCTCTTTATTATCGGAAAGAAATTTATCGTATCTCGAAAAAGAAAGGAAAAATGTGCACAACTTCTTTCACAATAATTTCTCTTCATAATTGATTTTTAAATAACGGATTATTGTTATTATTATATTCGCCGTAATGCAAAGAAAAGCCCTTTGCCCTAGATTTTTTTATTTTCACATCTTAATATCATATCTTTCGTTATTTCTTCTGCTGTTCACTTCTCACGTTATACATGAATAAAGAAAAACGCAGTACCTTTAAAAATGTATCGCATTCTTTATAATAAATCGTAAATTAATTTGCCACTAATGATTGTTAATTGAAAAATATACGTTACATATCGCTCAGTGAAAAATCATGACATGATTTAAAATTATAAAGTTACAATTATCTAGATATAACTATATAACATTAGAATCGAAAAATGAAATAAAAGATCAAATTAAATAGTCTCAATGTAACCGAAAATTGCGAAATATAATGTAACATTCTGTTACAGTTTTACTATCACAATATAACTTTATTACTCGATATGATGGGTACTTGATATGGAAACTGTTTTTAAGAAAGTTCAAGAGCTTCATACAAATTTATATTAAGATCCTTATATGAATAGATACATCCGATTATTAATAATGCATGAAACAAGAAAAGTTACAATTGTGAATATGTATGAATCGTAGTGATATATTGAGAGTGTTCTGACCGACATGGTTTTCAGACGCATATCTAATATCTGGAAATTGAATGTTCTAACCCGAGGGAAGTTCGTAACTGCACATATCAGATTCAGCCTTTGCAGGTAGCCAATTAAGAAGTTAACATCAGGTGACCGAATATTAAACTGGAGTTTATTGAACATGATACGCATGTCTCATTAAATATGATGTAAAATATTGCTAGACCCAGAAAATATAAAATAATTCATATATTTATATTAATATTTACAATGATAATTTATCTTAAAAATTTGTGCGAAATAATTTCTGAATATAATTTCCTCTCAGCGATATTTTTACTGCATGTATTTAAAAAATTGCGTTGTACAGATCTTTCTTTCTCTTTTTATCACATACTATACATACATATCTAACATAAAAATATGTAATAATTACAATTATAATTTTACTACATTTTTTTAAAACAATATATTTTTGAATAAAGGTTATACATATTTTTTTAAATAATTAATGACAAATTTTAGCAACCAAAAGTTATATTTTCATAGAAATCTCCCAGATATTTTAGCTCTGGCTGACGACCAAATTAGAGACAATTATTTTTGATCATGTTGTACGTGCATGTTGAATGCTCATTTGACTAGTCGTACACTATAATTAGACACCACTTAAATTAAGAGTATTATAGTCACGGAACTTATTTTATGAATTATAGACATACTCTTATTTTTTAGAAATTAAATATCACTGCGCAAACTTTTAGAATTAATAAAACGTAGATTGTTTCTTAAGAAATTCACACTCTGTTTTAGATGAAAACGAATCAAACGTTTTTAAATCAAGAAATATAATATAATACCTTCAGCAATTGCAAATTTCAAAATAAACAGAGAGACAAATCTTTCGTTTTTAATTTTAATATAAGTTTTTCATTTATCATCAATTATGATTATTCTGTTTTCTTACAAATTTATAAAACATTAATACATAATTATCAAAAATATTTTGCTGAAAGACAAGAAAGATACTTTGACACGCGTTAAACAATATATAATAGCGTGTCTCCTGTTGTGATTTTCTTTAATAATGCAACACATAACATAGGTATCGATCGAATTCATATTATAGACATTACACACATATTCCACTTAAAGGCGATCTCTTTAAAAATTTATGTGATTCCTAATGCATAAGTAATGACGGTTGAGATGTACGATGGACGCTGCACAGTGATATCGTTAATATAGACCCACGTGTCAGACGCACTTGTACTGCACGATGCAAATATTCCAGTGAATGCCGCAGTGGAATCGATGGCGACAGTTCGTAGAGACCGTCGAAGTAAACGCATCAGAAATAAGAGGAGACATAGAAATAAAGAAACTAGGGCATCGGAGAAAACACCTGACGAAATAGAATCTTAGGGATTGAACGCTTTCCAAGTTAAAGAGATGGATTATAGATGGATATTTCTCAGAATTCTCTCGCTTTCATTTTTTCTAAATCTTCGTAGACATTTTCTCAAAAATTCACCTGCATTAACGCCTTTAATTCAATGCACGTAGAATTACAGTGCATTGCAATTCGCTCACGATTCGCTTGAAAGAAAAGTTACTTAACGAAGTCAGCAAAATAAAACATATTGGAAGAAATTGCTATCGAGCTATATATATATTAGTTTTATAAGGTATCGATCTTATCGTTGAGAAAATTAACAGAAATCAAAAGAAAATAAAGCAAATTAATGTTTTTTTAATTATTTGATGTCCCTGTTATATATGTATTTGATGAAATATATTATTTGATATCTTTAATTTTTTCTTGTTATTTTCGGAATTGATAATAAACTCTGAAAGCAATTTTCTACTTCGCGATAAAGTTTAAGAAAGAAATGCGCTTTGATTTACGCCTTGGAATAAATTCTTATGTATTATTTATATGTTTCTCGCTTTCTCGTTGAATTAACTTTTTTTGCATATCTGCGTTTAGCTAAAAATAACGATCCCCTTCTCTCTTGAAGAACCGATGCAGTGCTATCGAAATAGAATACATTCCCCTGAGAGTTTGAATCCACTTTGTTCCATCCGATTTCGTTAAATCCAGTAACGGAAATATTTATGTGCAACACATGCAGTTTACACAATCAAGTTTAAAATTTAATTTTTATGGTAAAAAAGTATTTACATTAAACGTAAAGTTGCTGTTGTTATGAAATGTTGAGAATTTACGATATTTTTCTACGGTATCATGATTATACTTTTACAAAACCTCTTTGCATATTTTGCACAAGATTTCCATCACCCAATATTGCATTTCCGTGTTCTGTGAAGTGAATATTATGCGTACTTTCTGAACAGGAGTATCTCAGTTGATATGTTTTCCAAATTGATATGTAAAAACTAAAATAATACATCATAAGCTAAACAAAAAATATTTTTTCAGAAAATTTTTCCAAAAAAATATATTAGCGAAAAATTAAAATTTTTATTATATACATATAATATGATTTATCTTATACATATTCGATGACGATTATCTTGTATTATTGATTGTTGCGATATGTTAAAAAAATAAACTTCTCCCTTATTTTGAATGCATGTATATTTCTTTTATTACTGAACATGATTAACAGCTCTTCCGAGAGTCAATAAACGTTATTCATTGAACATTTTAATCAGATTAAAGCAAATCGACCTTGTTAATGTATATATTTTTATATTTATATTTATCTATAACTTATTATTATGGTTTATCGGATAATCGATGAGCTATAGTTGAGCCATTGAGAGACCATGAAATGACGATAAACTTGCATAATTATAGGCTTCGGTAAACGGAATAATTGAAAACGTTCAATCCGTAGGCTTATATAATTTTATTGAATTTTAATAATATATTTTTCTTTTATCTCGGAACTCATCATATTTATTTATGGAATTATTATATAAGCAACAACGGAAATTGTTATTGCATGTTTCAGGAAACATGGTGCAGACGATGGTGGCACATTTCTCAAAGGAGTCTCTCCCTATCGGCCAGTTCTTACTCGCCGAGGTTAAATCCGCTTCTGATGAAGCAACTAAAAGAGCCTAAAGCCACGGAAAAACAAGCAAAAAGAACTGCGAGAGCTACGTCAACTGAAAAGATAGATATTGAAAGTGCTGGTAAGTTATTACATTATTCTATCTTAAAATAAAAATAAACAATCGGTACATTTTATATATATAATAGGATATAACATAAAATATATTTTCCTTTAGATTGCCATATCTGTAGCATCTATACAATATTGCAAATTTTTAACGTGTTCAGCATAAAAATGGAGCCTTTTTTATCATGATGACAAAGATTTAAAAAATATATTTTTCGAAAAGTTTTGAAAAAAAAATGAAATTACATTTATTAAAATTTAATTAATCAATATTATTTACTGTAATTTTTAAATATTTTATACGTGTAAAATTACTCCGAAATTAATTTGCACAACATGCGATTTTACAGTTATAAATATATATGCAGATTTCGAAATTTTGGATTAGTAAAACCTTTCATGCATTAATTTTTGTATGCAATATATGCAAATAGTGTTTTTATTATATTATGTATGTAATTGAAACATTAAATCACACTATATTCGGTGTTATCGTTACAGGCTAAAGGAAATATATATTATATTATGATATAATTATGTACCGATTAAATACATTTATAGAATAATGAAATATCTGCGATATAAAGTTACCAAAGTAGAAATTAAGTTCTTCGAGACACGGAAGACTTGAAACAGTCTTATATAATGATCTACTTTAAGTTCAACGAAAGAGCATCTATTTATGAGAAGATTGCTTTTCCGTATTCGTCACACTGTACGAAACTCGCAATATACGTTTTATAGGATTGTCTGGTCTGTAGTAACTGTAAGGCTTAATTCACACTGAAAGTTTTGTGATTATTCTTGCATTTACGATTATATTATCTATTCCAGAATAAATCGATAATTATAGTGAACAAATTAGACGGCTTAAATGTTGCTTTTAAATTATTACAAGATATTCGTTTATGTGCATATTAAAATATTAGATTATATTTGAGTTTTTGGAAATTTTTTGTTATTCTATTATATTTGACTTTTTGGAAATTTTTTGTTATTTTTATTATTATTATTTTTATTTTGTTAATATTAATGATAAAATATTAATAACTGATTTGTTTAATTTTTGATAAAATATTATTTTACAATATATACATATTATTAGTTTTTTATTTGCAATATTATTTGATGTGGAGATCACTATGAATCCATCTTAAAACATTTTAGACCTCACGATGGATTTTACTTGCCAAGACTTCCTTTGAAATTTATGATGGTTGACTCTTCAAAAGAGTCGATAAAATCAACATGACTACTCCAAGAATATATAAAGTCGAAAATAATGTCGTATAATCTACGCTTTCAATACATCATTTAATTGAGGATATTTAATATGTGCCATGTATTCGAGCCAGTTTTCGTGACTCTGTCATTCATTCTATTCCAAGCTATGCGTGATAGTTTAAATATAGATTGGAGATAAAACGTTTGATAATTATATTTTTTTTATACAACCTTGCCTTTACTGTGCGACAAGGTAAAATATTGAAAAATTTAATTTCATTAATATTTGGAAAAAATACCAAATTTAATAGTTACATAATTTTTTAGAATTCACGAAGACAGACAGTAGATAATACATAAGAAATAAGAAATTGCACTTGTATTACATACATTATTTATTACACATTTAACACACTCCAACGTTGATGCTTATCTACGCTTTGTATACTATATACGACATATATTATTACATTGAAACTTCTATATACGTAATATAACTTTAACTTTCCCTACTATATTGCTATAAAATATGACTCGTATGAACTCCATCTGCAATAATAAATTGATCAACTTGGATGATACATTATCTTGTCAATGTTCTTTCGCGTCATTTTTATTGTGCGTCATATTTACTGTCAGAAACATTTTACATATTTTAACATATCTTACAAAATTAGGTACTTTTATCAACAATGTTTAACTTTGTTTTAACTTTTCTCAACAATGTTTATTCTATACGATTGGAAATTATTTTCTATGAATTATATATTATTCTTGCAAAAAATGATTATGCTCACTAATGCCATGAAATTTTACTTGATTTCATTAAGAATAATAATCACGTTATCTTCTTTAACAATCCTCGTTTATCTTCGCAGTCATGCATCAAAGAAATAAATATATTATACAACAAACTATCGTTCATGACGCTTGCGCGCATTGATCCTGTTCGTCAATCCCATTGAGACTATCTTCGAGCACCTCAAATTCTTCAAACTCCATTTTACCGAAGTCATTGCCGACTCTCCAGCTCGTGTTCGCCTCCCATCTCATTAACGCGCTCGGCATAAATTTACTCGGATAATTGGATCTCAAGTCATCTAGATCGCCCAGTTTAAAGTCAGCTTTAAAGATCCTCCTCGTCTCCTTGGAATCGTCTTTCTTCGGCTCCAGACCGATCACCACCGGCGGTTCTCTCTTCGTTTGTTCGACTTGCTCGATATCCTCGTCTCTTTGCTCCTCATTTTCTTGCCTGCTATCGATCGTCATGATCTCGATGCTGGGTGTCTCCGCGATGGTGCATTGTCTGAGATTAGCACCTCTATCGCAATTGCGACGCAACGATTGTCCCTCGATAAGTCTGCCGGTCAGCTCCAATCTACTATCACATGAATTACTCTTCACCAACTTGAATTTGACATAATCGTTTGATTTGTCGACCCGCTTGAAGCCATTGCCGATTAATGGCGATATCAACGGTCCGTTATGCATGTTCACAACTTTCCCGCCATAGTAAGTTACCGAAGTGCCATATTCGCGGATTTTCTTCAGTACATCTTGCGACACGTAGTGTCCGGGACCACTCGTGTGTGCGACATCATCATTACAATTGACATCGTCATCATCAGATGATGTGCAATGAGCGCCGCTTCCGGGATCTGTATCAGGATAATCGCTAGATACGCCGGAACTCACACTGCCGGTATCCCAATTTTGATGATTATGGTAACGGCCGGCTTTATTTTTAGAACAGTTTGAACCACTTGGCGACGAATTCCCGCTTCGAGCTTCGAAACTTTGCGCGAGAATACGTGTCTTTGATTCGCTTCGTGGACTTCCGGGTTCTTCCTTAACGACAGAGGCAGTTGATGACACGGACTTGGTTTCGAAAAGCCTCGTGAGATCTTTCGCTCTGCTGGAACATCTGGATTTGAACATAGTACATTGAAATTATGCTATAACTACTTACAAGTAATCGAAGAATGTGTAAAGAAATTTTTAAAATTTGGTTTACATTAGAGTTTCAAAGTAAATAGCTTACTTATTCTACTTAATCAAACTTTAATAGAATTTCAGTAACGTGATTTAGTCGCGAATAATTGAATCGAATAAACGTTTCAATATAAACTTTGTTACAATTTGTAATTCCATTAAATGTTATCTCGGGCTGAATTATAGCCAAGAATATTCGCTTCGAGTGATGTTTAAATTCAATTCGTTTTAATCAAAATAATTTGCATTAAAGTACACTTATCAAGACACTTGTGCATCGTAAACAATAAAAATTTCATTGTCGATGCCATTCGATTATTACACTACCTGGACTCTTCGCGTGCCTTGTCAGACATTTCATCATATCGACTGTCGATGCTAGTTAAATCCTTCATGCTAACGCTCCTCCTATTCTTGCAGTCCCTGGAGAACTCGGCGTCGGATACGTTCTTCTTTTTTTCAAGAGTGTTTTCGAACATACGTCTCACATTTTTTACTGTATCCGGATTCGGTAACTCCTCATCAATCAATTCGCGATTCACTCGTATAGGATGGTAAAAGAAGTGCTTTCTGATGGATGATTGCCTGGAGCTTTTGCCGGTATCACCGCTTTCGGACTGATCACCGTTTCTTTCGTAATTCTCCATCTTTTTCTGAATCGCGCCAGCAATTTTGCACGTGGGTTCCGTTCTGGTCAGTGGTGAAGATTTTCGTTCCACTGGCTCGGCACGAACCGGCTCGATGATAACGACGTTATTATCCATCAGCAATTCCTGGAACGAGTATTCGTGTAGGTATTGCATTAGTCCTTCGTATGTGACGTCGCCCCGAGCGGTACTGAACATGTTCTTGCTGAACATATGCGACTTGACGATCTTATAGCGAACGTGATCGAACTCTTGACCGTCCTGGCATTCTATCGAGTCCACGCAGCTCCTGGATCTGGTGAGATTAGTATGAGACTTTTTACCGTCACCACTTTTCGGCGTGGTTGAACTATCAGCATTTCTGGACAGCCGATCGTCTTCAGCGCCGTCATCCATTGATCGTCTACGAGAATCACTACCGGATTCGGAACCGAGACCGAGATCGGAGCTCTCCGATCTTGCCTCGAAACCCAAACTACCCTTTACAACGCTACAAGCCTTGCCGAGAATATTAGATGTCTCCTTCATGATCCTCTCGAATCTACCCTCGTTTTGCTTATTTCGCGTCGTCTCCTTCTCCGTGTTTTTCCGCTCGAAGAAATTTCTCGCGTCCTCCACCGTCGCTACATTTTCCGGTATCATAGCAGCATCCTATAAAATTAATTTGCCAATTTTAGCATTAAAGTGCTTTCGCTCCATTTCAGAGATATCAACTTTTAATAATTAATTTCTATGAAAAATATATGAGAGGTGATAAAATTGTAAAAATAAAATGCAACATTATATAAAAAATTAACAGAACTCGAGCTTGAATTTAATCGAATTGAAAATTCTTACGAAAATATAAAAGTTAAAGTCGCAAGCACGAAGTCGTGGAAGCTATACTCAAAATTCCAATGTGCACGAGCGAGGTGCGTGCAAGGAATTCAGAATCTTTCTCGCGCACTCTTTTTAAGTAGCTTTTACCTTTCAAAAAATATAGTCATACTTTTTGAGATTATTTCTTTCTTTAACATTTTATTTTTACAGTTCAGAATTTTTAAAAAGTTTTAATAACGTAACGAACTTATTAAACAAAAAATAATTTCTCTCTCTTTCATTAGTACGAATGCTTTATGTCTCATACTAACCTTCGTGTTTTTTCCATGTATTTCATCTTCCTTATTCATGTTATTCGATTTAATCACGAAGACATCGATATGCTCGTTTCCCTCCTTCGTCTGCGATATTTTATCCTTTGGCACGTCCTCGACGATGGCATCAATCTCCACGACAGAACGTCGATGGCGTTTCTTGGTGACGTCATTATCAACGACCTTGAGTATCTGTGGTCTTCTCGACATCTCGTGATGGTCCTCGTTATCCGAGATCCAGATCGACTTGTAATCTTCTATTTCCTCGACCTTGCGATCCTCCTCGCAGTAAGTCACGAGATTTTCGACATCGGCTTTCCTATAATTCTGGTCAGTGATGTTGGATGAAGAGAAAAGAACGCGTTCATCCGCGAACTTGTTCACCGAGATAATCTGCGAGTCCTTTTCGAGACTTTTGTCAGATTTCCGACGCTCTCGTTTTACTGAGTCTCGCCGGCTCAAGTTAGTTCCTTTGGACAAATTGAGATTGCGGACCTTCTTCTCAGAACTATCTGCTGAAGTGGGATTATCCTCTTTTACTGTGTGCTCTTTACATTTCTCCTCGTCCGTAGCGTTGCTGCTCCTCGTCGGCGAAACCTCGCTTGCGCTACTCGGCTCGATGTATTCGAGTACTCTTAAATCCCGCGAACCGTGCACCTGCTCCGTCTTTCGCGTAAAATTATCGTCTTTCGACAAGTCAGCCTCGTCGTATTCTAACCGTCGTATGTTAGAGAGAGGCAGTAAATTCAATACGTCAAAGTATTCCAATTCCGCGTCATCCTCAAAGAGTACGCTGTCTAAACTCCTATGCTCTTTACGTTTGCGCTTCACCTATAAATAGAATAAATAGAAAAACATATCTAAATATATTCTTTTCATTTCTCTTCTGTAGAAAGTGGTATAGTCCATCTTTCCTAGGACGACAAATTTTCTAAACGTACTTTTTGTATGAAAAATGAAAAATATTTTTATGATAAATACAATTATGACATATTTTGAAAAAATAATTAATAAAATAATCAATTTCTAATTTAATTAACCATCTTTTCAAATAAAAACTATTTTTATTATTAAACAAAATACAATAAATTTTTTAATAATAATTCGATTATTATTTTAATTTTACGAAATTCACGGAAAAATAAAAATTGTTTAATTTGCACAGAAATGTTTGATATACACTGGTTGAAATTTAATTAAACTACAGCTAATGATGATAGGAAACTCGACCTATATAATAATCTGTCGTTTTAATTAAAGTTGCCAACAAACTTCTTAATCTTGTTCCTACATCGAGAAATCCCGGCACGCCTATTCTCAAAAGCAATACGTCATTGTATCAAGTGAATCTCTAATCAAAATAATAATTACATGAAAATTTGCTTTAGGAGCCTCTAGTATGTTATATATATGTATCATCATATATATTCTTCATTATTCTGTGCGAAATAAATTAATACATTTGATATTTTAATCTTGATATATATAAATATATATATATATATATATATATATATATATATTTTATCTAAGAGAAAAATATTTTACCTGCGTATATATGCAATCGATACTCCGATTGCCTTCAATGGGCCAAGTGTCTTCGACGATATCGATCAATCCGCTTACGGTATCCAAATTCTGCACGCTGCAGTATCGTCTCGGAGGATCCGGCCAATCGAGAATATTTAGCCGATCAGGATTGGCACGATTTCCTCGAACGTAAGGTAACGGATCTGGAAGAGACTCAAGACTTGGCGGAATTGAGTGAAGGCCGCACGTCGATCGCGAATGATAGGGTTTTGCCTCGTTAAATCTCTCATAAGAATCTGAAAGATGCTGCTGACTCTTGGAAAGTCTGAAACAAGCAAAATACAAAATCTCTAAACCGATTATTCCTATGAAATAAAATTCGTATTTATAAAGCTTGAAGATTCTTGTAAAAATATGAATAGAGAAAAAAAGATTCGAGGAAAGCAGATTTGTATGGAAATCTAATGGCCTAATAACATTTGGATTCATTGAATTTGTTGCATAATGGCATTGGCTGATAAAAAATTATTAAAGGAAAGGATATTAAACGGAATGAAAAGATATAGAAAATGCATTACAATATTATTTATGTTACCATTTTTTACATTTTTTTTCTTTTATTACACAGATTCTATATAAATTTATTTGAAATTTATTTGTGGAATTTTTTCATTCAAATTTATTTGAAAAAAATTAATAAACTGTATTACTTTTGTTGTCAACAAATGATAAAGACTAGATTAATTTTAATAAAGGCATGTTTTCGTTACTATAAAATAAGCGCAAATATTTTATCAATATTTCTACCTCAATTAATTATTGTCTTATCAATTTTGCTTTGACGTACATATGAGAGCAAAAGATCAATGTGAAATAATGCTGTTTTTGTCTGTCAATGATGACTATCGAACGAATTAAATTGCTTGCAATGAATCGTAAATAAATGATGGAAACAAAAAAATTTGCTCATCGATCGTGAGCCCCACTATTTGATTTGATTTCGATTTTAATTTAATAGCTTTAAATCATTATTTATATATTTCAGCAAAGTTTTTAAAAGTTTCTAAAGTTTTTATATCATTTTGAAAAGAACTTTAAACCGTTGGAATGTTTTATTGAACATGTTTGTATTGATTGTTTTTTTATCACTTATCGATCGATTGAGTTTCGAGTTGCGAATTGCAATACTCTGATAATCGCCGCAAGGGTTTAATGCATATTTAAGATCAAGAGATCACATAGAAAAACATAAGTTATTGCTGATGAGATTATCGTTGATAAACTTATTGAACTGCATTTCTTGTGCAAACTTGCATTTTCTGTGAATATAAGATGCAACGCGATATAAAATGAAGAAAATTTGTGTAATCTTCAATTAACAATAAGAAAGATTTCTATTTATTCAATTAAATGTAATCCTTTATTTGATCAAAATTAAATCGAGTTCTCAAATACTCCAAAAAGGAACAATCTTCAAATTAATTAATTAATGTACGCGTTCTAGTTCAACAATTTACACACTACATTGTGTAAGTAAAAATAGTAGAAAAGAACTTTCATTATTATGTTCTTATTTCCCTCATGTAAAGATTGTAGTCTGTTAATTAAAAAGTAAACGAAGTTAAAAGCGCGCGACCTACGATCGTGTCTTTTCTAATAGTGGCTCACCTGTCCTTGAGAGAATTCCGATCGATCAATTTAGCTCTCGGTATCAATTGATATTTCCTGGGCAAGTCGAAACTCGATTGGCCTAGTCGAAAGTGCTGCGTCGCTTCTCGATTTTGTCGAGAATCATCCTCTGATATCACTGCGAGACTCCTCGTGCGCTTCAATAATTTGCTGCGCTCTTGTGTCGACTGTGCCGAGTGGGAATCGTAACGACTGCCCTCTCTGCAATTAAAAAATCGCGCAATTGTGCGGTAACGAGTCTAAATCATAGGAAACGTAATTATATTAAAATCTTACGCTGTGACAGTTTTTTATACTGGCACAGGTTTTCCGGGTACAATGTACGCATGTAATAAGCATATTTTACAGGCTTGTATAAGTCGTTCTCTTTCTCAATTACAGATCCGCGAGGGCGAATTTGAGAGAAATCATACTTTTATCTCTCTCAGTAAAACCATAATTAAAACCATAATAAAAACATAATTTAAAAGTTGTACAATTTAATTTAAAAGTTTTAAAAATCAAGAGAATTTATGAAGAATTAATTTTTAAATCTCATCGTAAATAAATAATATAATTTAGGAATTCCTCTTCAGTTTATTTCAATTAATAAAATGCTTCGTATTGTATTTAAACGGAATTTTTCGGAATCTAATTATGAAATGAAACAATATATTTAATAGTAAAGATTATTTATTAAAATGCTGATAGGACATTATTTTGCTACATAAATAAAATTTTCCTTATAAAAGATCAATTGCAAATTCGTCAAAATTGTATGTATTATTAAAACGTATAAACATAAATATGCAAATATTTATAATGCTTTTTAAACAATTAATTATAATAAAATCACGAATGCAACTTATGAAACAGCAATGCAATCACTATATTTGACACTTTGTCCTATATAGCTAAAAGCATAAAATGACATAGCTTCAATATCTCGTTGATTGCTTTGAGTGGCTTGGATGAATAGCAATATTCATTAATATGTAGATGAGTATCGATGCATATTCATCATTCTTTTATCATAAGGTAAGTTATGATGCCAATATCGTATCAATAAGTTATTTGAATGTAAATCAGTGAAGAAAACCGGAAAAATATCTATGTACTTAGACACGAGGAAAGAATATATACATAGAGAAAGAATACATGCATCTTTCAAATTCCTTTGCGAATAGCGAATTTCCTTTCGTCTTATACAGAGAGGAATGTTACGTGCAAAGCTACTTAAGTATCTTCTTAAAATAAAACTTATCAGTGGCTTTATTTTCATCCCTATTAAAAAAATATAAAAAATTATTCTTATCCCACAGAATAGCCAGCTCAAGTCATACTCAACTCAACTCCCGTTATTTTCTTCGCATGATGTTCATTATGATTTACCGCATCCTAACGCGCACGTGGATATATGTACGTAATGAATCATTAATTAAGTGTCTTGCAGTTATAAAATGTAATAGCTATATTAAACTCCTATTTATGTATTCATTCAATAAAATTATTGATAGCGGATATTTAAAAATAATATTGTGTTCGGGCTTTTAGTCATTATTAAAGTGAGATTGACAAATCAATATCTGATTTATATTTTCCTAATACAAATTTGAATTATAATTGTAAAATAAATTTCTTAAATTACACATACATAATTTCTTATACTTATTTCAAAATTTTTAAATTTATTTTAAAAGAAAAAGAGAAAAAAAACACTTATTTTTTATACACATGATAATATTAATTCTACGCAAATATATTTTTCTATGTTAGATATCTTTATTAGATAAAATAAAAATTTGAAAGTTTATATCCTTCGGTGTTAGTGCTTTTATTATTTCAGTCACGAAATTAAATTGTTCGCCTTGCTCCCATTTAAAGTTCCTAGTACGTGAATTTCATCGCAAACGTCATTTGAATGCGAAGGTAAAGCAAAAACTATGCTAGTGTTTGTGATTAATGTTTTATTTCTTATTTTCTAATCATACGTGATCAAGGTTTATGAAGAAAAAATCAAGAATTTTGATATTATTTGTTTCTCACATTTCGATTGATTAGTTATTTGATACGAAAAGAGAAGAATTCCATTACGTTTAATTAATTTGTTTAAAACTATCAGCTTGAAATATTCGTAAAAAGATAGCTGTATATATCGTTTCAATCAATAGCGAATACCTATGAACTATTTGCACACGTATCTCGGCTATAGATGCCAAAATCAGGAATGCAATTGACGTGCAATTATCTCCTCACTTTGATCTTCTGTATATGTGCTGAAGTGTCATTTAATTGATGTTCAAAGAGCTTATGCCAGTTTATGCAAACATCGAAAGAGAGAATAGAGTGATAATTGTATCATACAAAATCAGAATAAAAACATGTATAAATATGTGTGTGTGTGTCATTATATATATTTAATAAATTTTAAAAATCTTAATGAATATTTCGATAGCCAGTTATTACATATCATGTGCTTTTTCTACTTGAACTACCGAACCTTCTACTTGAATATAGTGAAAAGGAACGTGTCCTTTTGGCTGACTGCTCGTTTTAACATGAATCCTTGAGGTCCGAATGCAAACTGCGTATCGTCGTCTCATTGTGTTCGGCTGAGCATGGCAGCTGGTTACGTAAGATTATCACGAGTTATCTCGGGTAACTTTGCACGTCGTCTTCAATGCATATACATGCAAGAAGATTATTCTCAGGTGCCTACTTTTTTCTTGTTATTTTTCTTTTTATGATACACGAAGATGTTATAAAAGGAAAAAAAATATGTTTGAAAATATAACAATTTTTTTCATTATTATTTTTATAGATATGATTAACTAGAATTAAGAATATTAATAACAAAAATTTAAGAATCAAATTTTTTTATGTAAAATTTTTATTATATTAATTATCGGAAATTATTCAAAACTTTTTGTGGATTTTATAATGTTTATGACTTGTAATTGAAACTTTAATCTAATCGATCGATATAAAAATAATTTTACTTCATGTTTCTTAATCTAAAAATAATCAACAATTTTAGGGACAGAGTTATCAAACGATCAACGAAAATTTATCACATCACCTTAATTACTTATAAACTGATATTTAATAAACTTGATATTTAATAAACTTGATATTTAATAAACTTGATACTTAGAAACGGCGCCGTGTATATGTCACGTTCGCGAAAACTGAGAGAAGATTCTCGATTTAATTCGTTAAGCAATTAATATGCAATTATTCTTATACCGATTGATTTGATTTTTTTTTGTAGAAATGGAGATGAGAATGTTCGAACTGAGCAATCATATTGTCGAGCAATAGTGATTGAATATTCATGAATTATTAAATCATACGCAAAAAAATATTATATTATCAATCTACAATAAGAAAAAAGAAACCTACAATAAGAAAAAGGGCAATTTCCTTTCCTTTCACAGCTATATTATTTTTTTCTTTAAAATCATAAAAAAAGTGTTTGATATAGAAAAGAAGTATCTCATATTTTCTTAGGTAAAATAAACGGTTTGGCATAAAATGTCAAAGAAGAGGACAAATATCTTGAATAAACCTATACCCTATATATACCTGTTTTAAACGATCCATCTCGTGGAAGTGAGTTAAATTTTTCTTTGAATGTAGAATATCAAAGACGGAAAAATCTCCACTGCTGCGAAAGACAGTCGCTTTGTCAAAGTTCTAGAATATATTATGTGTATCTCGATATACATTACAAGAAAACTCAAAAACACTTTGATATACGCTTTCATAAGCATTATACATCGAGCATTTATCCTGTGTGCAAACAGTGATAGAATTAAAATCATCACGATTTCCGGTCAATAGACCGCTGCCTACACTTGCATTCAGGCTGCATGGTATAAAGAAAAGTTAAAGACTTTTGCACGTAGCGAAACGCGATGGGAATATCCTACGTGACTGAACCGGAAGAAGTTCCGCAGCGTGAACAGTCAGTCGATGGTTGACATCCGACCAACGACAAAGTTGTCTCCGTAAGACTTCATGAGTTGAAGTGCAAACTACAACTGCACTCGCGACATTTATATAAAGATGTAATCTCGCATTTCAAAGAGTTTATTTCAATTTGCAAGATTAAATGAAATAATTTATGACACGAAGGTGATAAATGCAATATTTTTCTGACTTTGCGATTTTTTTAAATTCGATTACTCTTAGCAAATTAAAAAAAAGATTAGTATTAAAAATATTATTTTAGATTATTTATAATAATTACTCTACAAGTATAATTATTATAATTATTATAATCTAAAATAACATTTTTAATACTAATTTCCTTTAAGTTTTAAACAGGAATATAAGTATATGTATGAAGTTTTTTAAAAAATATATATAAAAGTTTCTTAAATATTATTTGTAACGATAATTTTTCATGTAAGTTTTAACAAAAATAAAATTATTATTTATTTTATATTATTTATTTAATATTTTATCTTTTTTTCATAATTATATCAACTGGAAAAATTCACGTCAAAATAAATGTTTTCTCGTTTCCCGATTATTCAGCATCAGCAAAGCAAAATTGTGAACTGTCCGAAAAGCAATAAGAACAATTGTATAACTGATTACACCGGAGATAGAAGAAATAAATCTGTTGAGTTGTCAATGTGTTTATGGACAGAATAGCTTGAGTGAGTCACCATATAAATTTTTTTTATCCTTAACTAAATAAGAAACATTACCTTGATCCTCAACGACTCGTGTCTTAATGTGTTTTATTGACGAAGAAACAATGATTATGCAATTTCATATAACCTAAATATCATGAACAAAGCCCACCACCATGACTAATGATACTATACTTAAAATGAGGATCAAGATTAAGTAAGGTGACCCACGACAAAATATAACATGTAGGATCTTCACTTTCAGATAATGCGCATGCAGAATTTATTCGGACAGAATCTTTTATAAGATACAAGATGTTATATTATTTAAAAAAATTCAAATGTTGTTAAAAATTAATTAAATTAAAATTAAATTAAATTAAAATTAAATTAAATTAAATTAAAATTAGTTCCATTGTAAAATGCAATAAAAATAAGCAGATCACCACGTCATCATTTTTTTTCCAGCACTTTGCATAAAGGTCTTGACACATTTGCCATGAAAGACGCCTGATCAGCGCACGCGATGTGTGACATTAGATAAATTAATTCAGATAACACTCACGGTTTTTCCAAATG